CTAATTTGCCCATGGATCACACCCAAAAAATAGAGTGTAAGATAAGACAGAGAAACAGAGAGAAATGAACAATAATTTAGAAGTTTGTAACCCTTTATTTAGAGAATGACCCTTAATTTATAGAGAAAGAAGGGTATGGTATGTTGAATTAGATTTGTGATTCTATTTTAATGGGAGTTGTATATATTATTATATGTATTTTACATATATGAGCCTAGGAACTAACGACTCTAAGGCTTGGCTAGCTAGACTAGCAAACCCTTTGAATGACGCTATCGATCGATTAAGCTAGAGAGGCCCATTAGTTGGCATGTCTGGTAAGACTACCAGGCAACTAGGCTTAATGTTGTTGAATGACTGGACTCTTATTGGCAAAGGGTCAACCAAGTTGATTTAGTTAGCTAAGTGGTGTCGATCAGTTGATCAAGTATAACCACCAACCTTTCATCCATAACAAGAAACACTTATTGACTGAGCTAACTAGACCATTGAGTAGAGAGTGAATCACTATAATCCGTTAGGTAGCCGCTGTTGGATAAAAAAATCTTAAGGGGATGATTGAGATTCCTCTTATTGACTGTTGATGATGTTTGGGGGGGGGGGTTGCGGAATAAATCTGAGGGAATTGTAGAACCCGAAGGGTTAGTTTTTTCCTTGGATTGAGTCTATTGCAGGGATGTCCTGGATTTCTCTGTTCTTGGCGGTTGGTTAAACTACTCAGATTCGGGCCGCTTGGTTCTCTTGATTACTTTTGGTCTTGATGCTTCCGATCATACACATGAGCCTCTGAGTCTTTGATCCATGAGCCCTCATTTAACATGTATTGTCTTGTTTGTGCTGTTTGTTCTCCTCGAGATTAGTGCTGCTACTTTTTTTATGTATATGCATGAAGCATTTGTTCATGGGTTTAAGCAGGAGGTTTGTGTATGCTACGTTATCCCTTCTACTTGAAAATATGTTTTCATTCTTTTGTAGTTAGATGTAACATTAATCTCAAATTTCTAGCCAAATAACTTTATGATTCTCTTAATTACTCATTCTATTTATCTTTTAATTATAATATTATTTTAAATTAATATTATTTTATCTTTTTATAATAAACAAATCAGGACTTTAGAGGGTTTAAACTTGATTTGAAACTCGATTAAGCTCAAGCTTAAATTCGATTTTGAATTCAATTGAGTTAATTTGAACTCAGTCAATTAATCAGGTTGAAGATCAAGTTAGAAACTGAGGGCCAGTTTAGGGTGGTTGTTTTAGGAAGTCGCAGTAGTAGGCCGCGACATTTCATCGTTTGGGGTGGCTTTCCAATCGCGGAGCTGCCGCGACGCAGTGAAAAGCAGGTCGTGAGATCGACCCCGTAGCCTATGTTTATTCTCTAGATTTTTACGAACATACCCCTCTTTCGACCCCCCGCATTCTTGTTTTCTACTCTTTTTATTTCCCTCGAAGCTTCTTCTTCCTCTGCCCTAACCAACATGCCAGAGTCCACATTATTGCAGTATCCCCTCTCCCTATATTTTTTTGAGACATTTCTGTTTCTCGTTGCTCTGCATTGTGTAGATTCAACTGTATTTTTTTGGTTTGGTGCTTCTCTATAATGATGGTTTTGGTGTGGTGGATCTTTCTCTGGTTTTCTTTTCTTTTTTTATATTTGACTCACTGCTAGTAGCAAATATGTATAATTTCATTTTATGCCACTTAAATTTACTAGTGATTTTACCTAGGACATTCTGGTGATGAGAAAAATATATTTCCACACACTGCAAAATGAGACAGAGAAGTAGAAAGAATAAGACATTGATGTGAGCCATGTATTTTCTTATTTTGTGGCCCCAAATCTAGTAGCAAAAATATCTAATTTGATTCAATGCCACTGAAATTTGCTAGTAGTACTGCTTGTGACATTCTGATGAGAAGAGAAGTATATTTCACGCATACACACACACACTGAAATGAAGCAGAAAAGTAGAGAGAATGAGATAGTGATGTGAGCCATCTTTTTCATTTTTTTGTTTGTCTTCACAGCTAGTAGCAAATATGCATAATACCATCATATGCCACTGAAATTTACTAGTGATACTACCTGTAGCAATCTAATGAAAATAGAAGTATATTACTTCCCCCCACACACATTGTGAAATTAGGCATAGAAGTAGAAAGAATGAGACAGTAATGTGAGCCATGTTTATTTTTTTTGACCTCACATGTAGTTGCAAATATATCTAATTTCATTCAAAGCCAATGAAATTTACTAATGGTATCACTTGAGGTATTCTGATGATAAAAGAAATATATTTCACACACTCACCACTGTAAAATGAGACAGAGAAGTAGAAAGAATGAGACAGTGATGTGGGTCATGTTTTTCTTTTTTTACCTCACATCTAGTAGCAAATATGCATAATATCATGCCATGCCACTGAAATTTACTAGTGGTACCATCTGTGATATTTTGATGAGAATAAAAGTATATTTTCACACGCGCACATATTGTGAAAAGAGTCATAGATGAAGAAAGAATGAGACAGTTATGTGAGCAATGTTTTTTTTTTTTTGCATCACAATTAGTTGCAAATATGTATACTTTCTTTCTCAGCCATTGAAATTTACTAGTGGTCTCACAACTAGTAGCAAAGATGTATAATGTGATTTGAATCCATTGAAATTTTACTAGTGGTACCACCTGCAACATTCTGATTAAAAGAGAATTATATTTCTCTGACAAACACACACTGTAAAATGAAGTAGAAAAATAGAAAAACTAAGATAGTGATGTGAGTCATGTTTTTCTTTTTTATTGGCCTAACATATAGTAGCAAATATCCATAATACCATTCCATGCCACTGAAATTTACTAGTGGTACCATCTGTGGCATTATGATAAGAAGCGAAGTATATTTCTCACACACATACTGTGAAATGAGTCATAGAAGAAGAAAAAATGAGACAATTATGTGAGCAATGTTTATCTTTTTTCTTGCATCATAGCTAGTTGCTAATATGTATACTTTAATTCCCAGCCATTGAAATTTACTCGTGGCCTCACAGCTAGTAGTAAATATGCGTAATACCATTCCATTCCATTGAAATTTCCTAGTGATATCACCTGTGACAATTTGATGAAAATAGAAGTATATTACTCTCATACACACACTGTGAAATGAGACAGAGAAATAGAAAGAATAAAGTGGTGATGTGAGCATTTTTTTTCTTTTTTTTTTGTCCTTATAACAAGTAACAAATATGTATACTTCATTTCCAACAACTGAATTTTACTACTAATACCACATGTGACTAGGGCTGGCAAAACGGCTCGTTGTTCGCAAACAGCTCGTGTTCGACTCGTTAAGAAGCTCGTGTTTGGCTCGTTAATTTTGTTCGATAAGTTAACGAGCCGAACACGAACTAAAATGTGTTCGTTCGTGTTCGGCTCATTTTGACTCGAAATACTACTCATCAAGTTTATATATATATATA